CATTCTTCTCAATGTTATCCATAATTTGTTATGATCCACACAATCAAATGATTTGGTATAGCCAATAAAACACAAGTAAACATCTTTCTGGTATTCTTTGCTTTCAGCCAAGATCCATCTGATATCTGCAATGATATCCCTTGTCACATGTCCTCTTCTGAATCCAGCTTGCATTTCTGGAAGTTCCCTGCTGCGACTGTTTTTTAATTATCTGCAGCAAGATTTTACTTGTGTGTGATATCAATGATAGTGTTTGATAATTTCAACATTCTGTTGGATCACCTTTCTTTGGAATGGGTATAAATATGAATCTCTTCCAGTCAGTTGGCCAGGTGGCTGTTTTCCAAATTTCTTGGCATAGATGAGTAACTCCTTCCAGCACAGCATCTGTTTGTTGAAACATCTCAGTGGGTACTCTGTCAATTCCTGGAGCCTTGTTCTTTGCCAGTTCCTTCAGTGTAGCTTCAACTTCTTCTCTCAGTACCATTGGTTCTTGATCATATGCCACCTCCTGAAATAGATGAACATAAGCTGATTCTTTTTGGTATAGTGAGTATAGTGACTCTGTGTATTCTTTCCATCCTCTTTTGATGTTTCCTGAATCATTCAATATTTTGCCCATAGGATCTTTCAATATTGCAACTTGAGGCTTGAATTTTTCTTCAGTTCTTTCAGCTTGAGAAATGTCCAGCATGTTCTTCCTTGTTGGTTTTCTAACTCCAGGTCCTTGCACATTTCATTATAATGCTTTTCTTTGTCTTCTTGAGCTGCCCTTTGAAATCTTCTGTTCAGCTCTTTTATCTTGTCGTTTCTTCCCTTTGCTTTAACTGCTAGCCATTCAAGAACAAGTTTCAGAGTCTCTTCTGACATACATTTTGGTCTTTTCTTCCTTTGTCTTTTTAATGACCTTTTGCTATCATCATGTATGATGTTCTTGATGTCATCTCACAATTCCTCTGGTTTTCAGTCACTGGTGTTCAGTGCACCAAATCTATTTTTCAGATAGTCTCAAAATTCAGGTGAGATGTCATCAAGGTCATATTTTGGCTCTTGTGGATTTGTTTTAATTATCTTCAGTGTCAACTTGATGGTTCCACAGTCAGCTCCTGGACTTGTGTTGGCTGAAGATATTGAGCTTCTCCATCACCTCTTTCCGCAGATGTAGTCCATCTGATTTCTGTGTACTCCATCTGGATAGGTTCACGTGTATAGTCACTGTTTATGTTGTTGAAAAGGGTATTTGCAATGAATAAGTCATTGGTCTTGAAAAATTCTATTATGCATCCTCCAGTATCAATTCTATCACCAAGGCCATATTTTCCAACTACTGGTGATGCTTCATTTCCAACTTTTCTATTCCAACCACCAGTAAAAATCAACACATCTTGATTGCATTTCTGGTCAATTTCAGACTGCAGAAGTTGGTAAAAATCTTCAATTTCCTCAGCTTTGGCTTTGGTGGTTGGTGTGTAAATTTGAATAATAGTAGTATTAACTGGTCTTCCTTGTAGGTGTGTGGATATTATCCTATCACTGACAGCATTATACTTCAGGATAGATCTTGAAACGTTCTTTGTGACAATGAATGCTACACCATTCCTCTTCAATTTGTTATTCCCGGCATAGTAGATCATACTGTTGTCTGAGTCAAAATGGCCAAAAACCAGTTCATTTCAGCTCACTAATGCCTAGGATATTGATCTTTATGTGTTAAATTTAATTTTTAACAACTTTTTAACATTTACTTTTTGACTACTTCCAATTTTCCTAGATTCATACTTTATACATCCTATGTTCTGATTATTAATGGATTAGTTGTTTCATCCCTTTTTGAGTCATGTGACATCGGCAGATGGAGGTTCCAAAAGCTTTACTCCATCCATGTCATTAAGATCAACTCTACTCTAAGGAGCAGCTTTTCTCCAGTCGTGTTTTGACTACCTTCTTACCTGAAGGGCTCATCTTCTGCCATTATATCAGACAATGTTTCACTGCTATTCATGAGCTTTTCACTGGCCAATTCTTTGAGAAGTGGGTGACCCCTTCCTTCTTCTGCATCTGTCTTAGTCTGGAAGCTCCACTGAAACCTGCTCACCATGAGTGGACCCTGCAAGTATTTGAAATACCACTGGCATAGCCTCCAGCCTCACAGCAACATGTAAGCAGCACAGTATGACAGACTGACAGATGAGTGGTGGTCAGTCCTTTTAGAGGTGATTATACACTCAACCTTGTAGCCATTACTAGATTAAGGTCCATAGGTTTACAGAAATAGGACAGTCTAATATTAAGTTCTGGTAGCATAGTGGCTAAGGCACTTGACTGCTAACCAGAAGGCTGGCGGTTCAAACCCACCAGCCACTCCTCGGAAGGAAGGTTGGGCAATCCTACTTCCGTAGTGATACTGCCTCGGAAACCCAAGGAGGGGTCGCTATGAGTCAGGGCTGACTCGACGGCACATAACAACAACAATATTAAGTTGGTGGTGGAAAAAGCCAAGATCAGCTACAGCAACCTTTCCACTAGCTTCAGCTTTACCAGCAGCTTCTGACGGGCAAGCTAAGCTCGCAAACTTCTCCCAAGAAAGCCTCTGACCAGTTGCAGCATTGGATGACAAAAAGGAGAGAGGAGAAATGAAGACCAAGGCAGAAGGGAGTTAATTAGTCCCCATCCCAAAATTGGTTATAGCCCTCATTCCAACTGATAGCACTCTTTACTTCTTTGCAAAATAGTATTAAAGTTTCCTTTTGCACGAATGGGTGCTATTCATTGTTCACTGCATTAAATATTTGAAACTTCTGGCTCTTGGCCTAAGGGAAGAGTTTACTGATAAGTAAAGGAAGACATAGGATGAGAGGACATGATCCTCTGGACTTGGCATTTCGCCCGACCCTCCTTGGGGAACCTGAAGGAGTTTCCCAGAGAGGCTCTTGGCTGAGAAATGCTATTAGACACCCAAAGTGAATTTTTTAAAATGACAGGAGGAGGTAGGATAAGCAAGCTGACCTTCAATGGGAAGATGAAATCATGTGCTTTGCAAATTGGAAAAAATAACAATCCAGGATAAAGCTCACTTTCTTCAGCCAAGAGTCAGTACCTTCCAGCATGGCCTGAGACTCTTAAAGCTTTCAGGAGACCACTTCTGGTGCTGCAAATTTCTCTCTGCCTGCAAAGCAGGTTTACCAAGCCTGAAAATAATTTTATTGTCTTTCTTTCCTTAAATGGTATATGTGTGATCTTGGGTCCTATGTAAATGGTTTTCAAGAAACCCTTGAAGCTGTGATTCAAGGTGCACAAACAGCATCTCCAAGTAGGAAACCTTTATGCATCTTTACCTTTCTCAGACTGCTGGAGGGAGAGGGTGGCATTTGAATTTTAGACTGTGTGTTTAAGGAGCTCAGGTGGCTCAGTGGTTAATGCATTGGGCTGCTAACCAGAAGGTTGGTGGTCCAAACCCATCAGCCACTCAGCAGGGAGAAAAATGAGGCAGTCTGCTTCTGTAAAGATTCACAGCTTTGGAAACCCCATGGAAGTAGCTATGAGTCGAAGTCCACTCCATGGCAGTAGGTTTGGGTTTGGGTGTTGTTCTGGTTATCTAGTGCCACTCTGACAAGAGTATACCACAAATGGGATGGCTTGAACAAACAGAAGTTTATTCTTACAATTTGGAGGCTTTAAGTCCAAGTTCAAAATGCCAGGCTCTAGGAACTGTGAGAAAGCCCATCAACCTTGGGCTTCAGCTCTGCCTGCAGCTCCTGGACCACTGAAGTTAGAGGCATCTCTTCACTCAGGCAGCTACTTGCTACTGAGGCCAAAAAGCCCAAGGTCAACAAATAAAATGGCACAGTCCTGATGTTACCAAACCACACGGCAGACCACTAATTCAAATCCATTGTAAGTCCCAAGGTCAGCAGAGCATGGCAAGCTGCTGAACAACAACACAGCTACGTGCAGGGTCCAAGCATGCCATAAGCTAGAGACCATTCCTAAGGCTTCTCCTTATATACCAGAAGCAGACCACATCCCAAAGGCTGCTTGTGGTAGATCCCACCATGGAGTTGATTGCCAGTCTCGTCACGGGGAAAACTACCGCCAGCTGCCAAGTCACTCAACCAGGCCCAGCCTAGTTGACATACAAATTTTACTACCACAGGTATTTAATTTACTTATGTCTGATCTCTTGCCCTCCATTCTACATCCAGCCCCCATTAGACTGTATTCCTTGTGTCTCATTTTTGTTCTTTGACTCAATCACCAAATAGTTGACTGAGACTCTATATGTGCTGGTCACAGTGGAGATTTATATGAAGAGCGAGACACAGTAACCTGACCTCAGGATTTTCAGAAATTTACAAAGGGAACATTTACACTGGCAACATATACAATACTTTCAGATAAGTAAACTCAGGCTCAAACAGGATAAGTTAAAGGGACTGTCAGGGCAGAAAGAGGGTCTTCTCCAACTACTATAGTCCCCAGAGGAGTTCTACATCTGTAGTAGGCTGTCGTGTTGGTAAGTGTTAATGTATTTCTCTTAGGGTGGTAGTGGTGTGGAGAAGAGCACAGTTAGCTATAAGCCAAACATCAAGCTGGGAATGAATAACCATTATGTCCCCTTCCCAAGGGTGAATCCAGATGCTTCCAGTGCCTGTAAGTCACCAAAAGTTTTACTGCTCTTTCTAGGATTTGTTTCAAAAGAGGAATTAAGCACTCAGTCTTTGGAGCCAGTATCTCAGGGAGAGCCAAGTAAGTTAATTGACAACTGGAAACCCAGGGTGGCTTTGATACCTGATCTGCTTTTTCCTTTTAACCCACTCACTCCCACCCAAACCCATCTCTCTCCTATGTGGCTCTGTTTATTCTTTCCCTGTCACTTTGTTCTAAGGGCAGGAGCTCTGGTGGCATAGTGCCTAAGGCATTTAGGAGCTCTGGTAGCATAGTGCCTAAGGCACTTGACTGCTAACCAGAAGGCTGGC